TCACATTACCAGTTATACCTTGTATTGGGTAGCAATCTCAAATTTGCCAACGTCTTGACTCTTGATCTCAATTCCATCAATATAGAGCTTTTGGATCCCTGTGTTATAGTCGTATGTATAGGAAAAATACTTCCAACTGTTGATTGACGACAAAGTTTGGTCCAAGTAAGACACCATAACCAGATTCCTTTTTACTACACGTGCAAAAAGGTCTTTAACATCTATAGGTAATCAATAAAATTAAGATAGGATAATAGTAGAATCACTGTGGCGGATCCAGAGGGAGGGGTGTCTAAATGAGGAGACAAATTTTTATTGGGATACGGATTATTTTTTTTTCTGAATGCTGCTTTCGCTTACGCTTTCCTTTCTTGTTTTTTTTTTAGTCGTTCATGAATCTGTTTTTATACTCTTGAGCTCTAACAAAGGAGGCGGCTATCCACCCTAATAACCCCATCTATATCCACCCCTAAAAATGCAATTTTATATTTTTAAGAGGTCGATTTATCCATCTTTTGCCAAAAATATTTCGTAAAATAATTGTACCTACCTGTTATGTAGAAATGAACTGCCCTAGAAGATGCTTGTGTGTCGTAGTGCAAAAACGGACCTGTTGTCCCTTGGTAGTAGATCCATGCACTCGCAGTAATAGAATATCTAAACATTAACGTGATTTAATCCAAATTTGTCACTTGAAGGGCAGCGATTTCCAAGAGATTTCAAGAATATCGTGGCATACATATAAGATGTCTTAATTCTAAAAAAAATATGGATGTTTGCTTTCAATGATTGAAGATCCCCCTGCGAAATCCAAGCAATTATTTTTTTCTGGAGTCAAAAATCCGACACCGACAAGAATATGGAATTAGAAAAATTAAAGAAAAAAGGGATTTATTTGCTTTTAGGAGTCAAGACACTTCTTATTGTTGAGCTTCGAATCACTCATGACGCTTATCCCTTGCACAACTGGGTGATTGATTTGCGACCAGGCCTGCATATGAATTCGCCAAGGTTGTAAGCCAGTGAGCCCGTGCATTTGTGTTAAGCGGTCATATTTGAAAGTGTAAATAAAGAAAAGGGAAAACCCGCATCTCGCCTTTCACTCAGATAAACAGTACAAGTCGTGTTAAATTTATTTACATAACTAAACAAAATGATTATAGAATTAAACCTTTTTAAAGGTTAAAAGAATTGAAGTTCATATCAAACATTTTCCACCTTAAATACACACGTGTTTTTCAGATGGGAATTTAGTCTAACTTTTTTCACGATGGAATTTTGTT